GAAGGAGGGTGGGTATTTCTTTTTTAGAATGGTGGTTTCGGTAAGAGTTTACAGAGCAAGTTGGTTCCATCAACAGTTTATGCATGTTTTATTTTGTGGTATTGCTTGCAGTCCCTCAATGTAACAGCAACGAGGAAATGCTGTGGAGGCCGCATCTGACCTCTTCCTCCAGCTTCCGTAGGGAGGAGACTGCCACAGGGCAGAGGTCAGGCATGCTCCCATACTCCCTAATCTGACACCAACCATTCCTCACTTGTTTATACACAGACCCCAGTCATATCGGATTCTCACTCCCCGCCATCCAGTCAATGCCGACTCCCAGCACCCCTTGCGGGTTTCCGAGACTGTAACTGTTTATGGGAGTAGAAAGCCCAGTCTTTATCCTAGGAGCTGCTGGAGGTTTCGAACTGTTGACCTTGAGGATCGCAGCCCAATGCATAACCACTGCACCACCTCATAGCAGATCAGTACTTGCCTAATGATGACCTCTTGTGAACGTGATTAAGGAGCCCGAGTGGATCAGTGTAAGCATTGGGCTGCTAACCACAGATGCGTTGGTTCAAATATACCAGCCGCTTCTAGGAGAAAGATGAGGCTGTCTGCTCCAGTAAAGATCGAATCTCAGAAACCCAGAAGGGCGGGTCTATTCTGTTCTGTTAGGTTGCTAGGAGTTAGAGTTGTAATTGACAGGATGATAGTAGCAGTGAGTGAACTTAATTGCCTAACTATTTAGCTGCTAATTAACATGAGGGAGAACCCTATTTCTAAACAAGGCCACATTCACAGGTCCAAGAGTTAGGACGGGAACTCTCTTCAGAGGTCACAGCCCAGCCCGTGGCACATAGGTTCATGGACCACTAATTTAGCTGGCTTTTTGCCCTCAACTACAGTATATGTCATTAGCTTGTGCTTCAATTTCTTCAGGGGATTTCAGTGAAGTGGACTGCTTAGCGGTGTGTAAAGAACGGTTACTACTGAGAACTCCTTGGCATGGGCTCTGCCCCAGTTCCCATTTTGAGCAAGTCAGCTGAAACCCCTTGAATCTCATCTGCAGCCTGAGGGGGCTGACCTGGGTCTTAGAGGATCCATTTGGCACAAAGCCACCAATGGCTGCTGTATCTCAGAAAGATTCCCAGGTAGTAAAACGCAACTTAAATGTAAAGTCAGACAAGGTAAGGGAGAACACCAGGTTGTCTGGCTAGTGTGAGTCTAAGCCCAGTTTCTACGAATGTCTTCATCCTGTTCCGGAATTCCTGCAAGTCAGTGTGGTGTTGTGGAAAGCGGAGGTGGGGGGGGGGGGCCTGCATCCCACCCCCACCCCCACCCCGCACCCCCGTAGGTCACATCCCAGTGGCCAGAGCCTGGCAAGTGAAGACACAGGGAGCTTTCGGCCAGTCAGCGCCAAACTACAGGGACCCATGGAAACCATATTCCATTTTTTATTATTTTAATTATTATGATTTTTTTCTTTTTCTTAATCATTTTATTAGGGGCTCATACAACTCTGATCACAATCCATACACACATCAATTGTGTAAAACGCATTTGTACATTCATTGCCCTCATCATTCTCAAAACATTTCCTCTCCACTTAAGCCCCCGGCATTAGGTCCTCATTTTTCCCCTCCCTCCACACTACCCCCTCCCGCATGAGCCCTTGATAGTTTATAAATTGTTATTTTGTCATATCTTGCCCTGCCCGACGTCTCCCTTCACCCACTTTTCTGTTGTCCGCCCCCCAGGGAGGAGGTCACATGTAGTTCCTTGTGATCGGTGCCCTTATTTTTTATTTGGAACTTAAGACGTGTCGTATCATCCCATAGTTCAGTCACATCAAGCAGACTTGTACAATCGCTACCACCACGTTCTGTTCTGATCCATTGGGCTTTCGTTGGCTGTTTTCAGAAGCAGAGCACCAGGTCTTTCTTCTTAGTCTGCCTCAGTCTGGAAGCTTGGCAGAAACCTGCCTATCTTGGGTGGCCCTGCCGGTATTTGAAATCCTGATGGCTTAGCTTCCAGCATCACACCAATCACCACAGCAAGACACTGACCCACTGGTGGTGAGGAGGCATGACCCAGGAGTATGTGTGGTGTGGTGTCAAAGGCTTCAGCGCTTACTACTCAAAGTGTGGGTGGAGACCCACAGCCAGAGGTCCTCTGGGAGCGGTGGGACTCAGGGTACCCCAAGACCTGTCTACATACAGGAAAGTGCTTGAGAAGTGCTGGAACGCCCCAGCCCCCTTTCTCCTTAAAGTGAGACTTGTCACTCTTTGCTGAGGCGACGTGGGAGGGCTTGAAAATTGATCTCCAGGGCTTGAAATCGGAGTCCCTGAAGCTTTTATGCTGAGAGCGAGGCTCAGCCGGGTTTCCCAGCCGCTTCCTGAATGGAGTATAGAAACCATTCCCTGTGGTGTTTCAGCTGCTGCATCCACCAAGAGCTGCTTCTCTCCTGAAGCCAAGAAGAGGGGGGGAAAATTCTGCTCTGTCTGGTAGCCAGTAAGCAAGGTCAACACAGGCTTATTTGTGCTTATTTATGGAATCTGGAGTGAAATGCGATGAAACCCATGCGAGGCAGTGCACTCCAGATTCACAACTAAGCACAAGTAAGCCCACACTTACCTTGCTGACTAGGCCCTCCGTGTGTCCCTGGTGGGGATCCTGTGTGTTAAAAAGAGGCTTTGATTCTGTGAGAAAGGGCTGTGGGGTTGCAGACAGACAGATGCTGGCCAGACCCAGCAGCAGAACCCAATGTGGGAGAGTATATGAAATTGCTCACCTCAGATGAGTAAGTACACACAAGCTGGCCTGTGCTTACCTAGCCTATTGGGTGACCTGACCCTACTGGTACCCCTCCCGTTTCTCAGTAGGCAGTTTCTGATACCAGGCTCTTCCAGGCGGGCGGTCTTTCTTCTCAGGGCCACCTTGGCTTCCTGGTTCCTGTGCTGTGCAGGCAGTCACTTTCATTCTAATGTGCCCCAGGTACTTGGGGTTCTCAGCAGGGAACTGTGGCTGGCTTCTTTCCTGCTTTCTCTCTGGCAGCCTCTGGTTCACTACCATACCATTCTCTTGCTACGGACCTGATGTTTCAAAGCATAGACGTAGGTCGTAGTTGAGTTTTTAAACAGACCCAAAAAATGGTTTGCCCTTGGGAACACTTTTGGCCCTGTATGTCATATTGTTTTGACAGAAGGGCGGTCTTACTCTTAACTACATTTATAATATTTTAACCTTTACTAGACGGAGCCCTGGTGGCCTAGTGGTGACGTGTTAGGCTGCTAACCTCAAGGCCAGCAGTTCGAAACCACTAGCAGCTCCCCGGGAGCTAAATAGGGCCTTGTACTCCCATAAAGAGGTATAGACTCGGAAACCCTCAGGGACCGTCCTACCCTGTCCTTTAGGGTCACCAACACCCAATGGCAGTGTTTGGTTTTTGAGAGGAGCCCTGTTGTTGCAATGGTTAAGTACTCCGAGGCTAACGACGGTTGGTGATTAGAACCCACCCAGGGTTCGACGGAAGAAAGACCTGGTGATTATTTGCTCCTCTAAAGATTATAGTGAAGGAAACTCTATGGGCAGCTCTGCCCTGTCACACAAGAGTTACAGTGAGTCAGAATCCACTTGATGGCCTCTGGTGGCATTGTGGTTAAATATTGGGTTGCTAACCACAAGGTCGGTGGTTCAAAACCATGAACTGCTCCTAGAGAGACAGATGGGGTTTTCTACTCCAGTAAAGAGTGAGTCATGGAAATCCAGAGGGGCAGTTCTACTGTCCTGCAAGGTGGCTGTGGGTCAGCATAGACTTGATGGCAGTGAGTTAAGAGCAGCAGCGAAGCCTTTCCCGTAGAACAGAGGGTGGCTGCTTCGCCCAAGCAAACACAGGTTTGCTCCCAGCCACGCATGGTATGTGACAGGTAAATAATAAAAGCCTTTGGACGTAGGCGGCTATTTGGCCAGAATGTCATTGAGGAGACTTTGAGGGGGGCAGGGAGAGATAAGAACTGGACCCATGTCCACAGATGGATGGCCTCTTACACTAGGTCTAAGAATACTCTTTGCTGGTTGTACGTTTACTTTGCGTTTTTTAATGACAGTTTTTAGTTGTCAATTGGGTGGTGGCAGTAGTGTGTTTCTTCTAGAGGACAGCTATTCTTGGCCACTGAAAGTTGCTTCAGATTCAGGTAAGCCCACTTCCTGGCCCTTCTTCATGTTGGACAGCCTGGTCCTGCCACGGGTCTACTGACCTCCTCTGAGTCTTTCTTACCTCTGGTGATAAATGAGGCCAGACTAAACAGCCCCAAGGCCTCTCTGCCTTTTTTAGTATCTCATGTTTGGTGAGCATTAGTGTGAGTCGTTACGAAGACAGAGAAAAATGTATGTCAGTACGTACACATGCATATGTGCACACACCACACACGCACAAATACTCATCCACCTCAAACATATACCACACAGGCCATAGGCCCAAATACCACAAACACGCCACATTTGCATAGCACATCACATACCCCTCAAATATACCACATATTCACATGTACATACACATGCCACAAGCACACACTATGCACATGCGTACCACACACATATTGCATACACACACATTCCTACCTCGCACACCATTCCTACCACACACATCAAATGTACACACCACATTCATACCACACACATCCCACAAAAACCACACTGCACGTCACACATAAAGGTGCTTAAGTCAAGGTGAGACCCACGTTGCTGAAGACCTGCACACACTGCCCTCGTGGAAGCTCTAGCTGTTCCCTGCTCACCCGTTACTGGCACACTGACAGCCACAGCTTGTGGCTGACTGTGGGCTGAGCAGCTGTTGCGGGGGAAGCTGGGTGTCACCCGTGCCCTGGGTGTATTGTGACGGACTTTTTCTGTCTCTGCAGTGGACAGGCCCTCCGCTGAACTGCATGGCACCCTGTCGCACTCGCTGGGGAGAAGCCTCACGCACAGCACCGCACATGTGGCCTTAACAGAACCCGCTCCGGAGCCCCCGCCAAGCAGCGCCCCCCGAGCCACGGACCCACCACCTGCTGCCTCTATGCACACCACCTTCCCCCCCCAAGGGGAAATGGCCCACCCCAGTGTCTTCGCGGCCATTTATGTGTCGGCCGGGAGCAATGAGGTGGTTCCGGATGACGACGACGAGATGGACAACTTTTTGCCAGATGTCCAGTGGGCCACTTCTTGGACGCTGCCGCCGATCACACAGGACGGCAGCACACCCAGCCCCATGGGGCTGCCGCCACACACGCCAGCAGCTGTGCTGACGCCGTCCTTACCCCCGGGTTCTCTGCACAGCCACGCGGCCACGCAGCGCCCCCCGACGGATGCCAGTCGCCCCAGCCCGCCTCCGTCCCTGCCCACCGTCCCCACTCCCCAGGGCTTGCTTCCGACTCCCAGCAGGAATTTGGCGCTTTCTCCCACAGACGTGTTTGGGCATCGGGCAAGCAGGACTTTGCCCGAGGACGCGGCTTCGGCCCTGGAAGATACGGGACCCCTCTGGTGGGGGTCCCTGACGCCAGTCCTCGAGACCCAGCGGCCAGCTCTCCCCGAGGCCACGCAGCTTCTGGAAGCCAGTGCCGACAGCGACCCGGCAGCAGCGACCCCCAGTTTGAGGCCGGGGCCGCAGCACGCCCTTGTTTCGGCGCAGACCCCGCCCTCCGCGCACGGTGCCAGCACGGGTTCGACTTGGTCCGCCACTCCTCTGGCATTTGACCCCTTTTCTGCTCCCTCAGCTGATACCTCTGGTCACTCCTTTCTGCCCAGCAACACCGGCGAAACGTCCCCGCTGCTCAGGCACGTTGGGGCCCCCAGTCACGTGGCTGGCACTCCGGCCCCGAGCCCCGCCCCGTCCTCGAAACACGTGCGCTCCGCGTCTCGCCGTCTTTCCGCCCCGCCGCCAGCTCCGCCCTCGAGCCTCCTGGCGACAGACTTGGGCTCCGGCAACGGCCCCGAGACTTTGACCTTGTCCTTCACCGGGTGGGAAGCCAGCAGCCTCCCTGCCCCGGGCAGCGCGGGGACGGCCGACTTCTCGGAGGTTGAGGAAGAGCCTGCGGACCTCGATACGATTTTCCCGCCGAGACCCGTGCTGTCGCTCTCCTCGCCAGCCGTGGCGATCTCAGCAGTGGCGGACACGAGTGGCCTCGCGTCCACACACGCTCCTTTCCTCCCAGACCACCCCCCTGCCTCCCTCCTGTCGCTTGAGGCGGCGTCCTTCAGCTCCCCTTGGCTGGGGGAAAGCCAGGTCCCGTCGTCCACGGCGGTTTCTCTCACCGGTGGATTTCTTGGCGCCGCTTTCTCCGCCGCAGCAGCGGAGAGCACGCCGGCCCTGGCTGTCGCAGGCCCAAGCCCAAGCCCAAGCCCGGTCACTCCCAATGGACTGGTTCCCTCCCTAGAATCATGGCTTCTGTCTGGCCAAGGATCCCCCGGCTTTTCCCAACGCGAAACCGGAAGTCTTTGGGATTTTGCATCCAGCTTTTCCCCGACGCCGCCGCTGGGCTTCAGCAGCGCGGCCCCCTCAGCCCCGGAAGGTCCGGCGCCTTCGTCCACTCCTGCCGCCGGGGCGAGCGATCTGTCCCCGCCCCTCTCGCAGGCGTTTCCCACGCCCGTGGCGGCGCCGACGTCACTTCCGGTTCCGGTTCCGGATTCCACGCCCCTCGGAGGTCCTCAGCTCTGGCCCAGTGCAGACCCCCTTTCAAACGCGTCCGCGCTCCCGCCTGCCCCCTCCGAAGTGCCCCCGCCGTCCAGTTCCCCACCGCCCGATTCCGTAGAGTTCTCCGAAGCAGCCGCGGCCCCGCCGGCGGGGCCTGACACGCTCTCCACGTCCGCTTCCACGCAGGCGACCCGGCGTTCGGAGGCGTCACGCTTCCCCGCCGAGTCTGCGGGCCCCACCCTGGCGCCCGCCGGTTCCGAGGGGCTCTCCGACCTGGGCACCCTCTTCCCATCAGCACCCGCTGCCTCTCACCCTGCACCCACGTCAGCCAAGCCGTCCCTGTTGGTGACTCCCGCGCTGCCGGACGTTGATAGCAGCGAGACAGATGACCACGCGTCCGCCTTCCCCCCTTTGACCGTCATCGCTCCCACCAGGACGGCACCCGGAGCAGACGTGTCCTCCTCACTGGTTTCTGAGGTGACCCCTTCACCTCTCGCCACGGAGCCATTGTTTGGGGGCCCGTCCTTCACGCCCACCGATGTCCCGGTGAACGTCTCCACTGAACCTGCCGCTCTCCCGCCTGTGGACGCCACCGGCCCGCTGAGCGGCCGGCCTGCCAGTCAGCCTCCCCACTCGGACCCCACGGCCCTGCCCCCGGGGACCGCCGCCACTCCCGAAGCCCTGCTCAACACGCCAGCCCCGGTCGCCACCAGGCCGCCGTACGTGTGTGACATCACCGTCCCCGATGCCTACCTGATCACAGCTGGTAAGGTCACCTGCGCAAAGTCGCTTCTCTCGCTTGGGATGCTCTTTCTGAGGTGCTCAGGTGGTTGATGCGTGGGGCTGCGTATGGAAAGGTTGGGGGTTTGAGTCCCGCCAGAGGCCCCTTGGGAAAGAGGCCGGGCAGTTTCCAGGATGAAAACCTCGCGGAGCACACAGTTCTGCCCTGACCCACGAGGGGGCGCCACACAGGGAAGCTGGCTCCACGGCAACTGCTTTTTGGGTGTGTTTTTTTTAAACTCCTCCCTTGTTTACAATGTTTGGGGATGCGTAGGAGGGCAAGTCACAAAGTATTGCCTGCGAATCACAGAGACCCGTACTGAACAAAACTATCAAAGCGGGAAGCTGTTGCATCTCAACATCGCCTCCGACTGTGTCTCGATTGCACAGGCGCGGGCTCCGCTCCCTAACCCTTCCCTGAAGAACGGGGCACCTCAACTGTGCTCCTCCGAAGTGTTCTTTGAGTTTGGGGGTCACAAAGAAGCCTGAAGAGTCAAGATCAGGGCTGGAGCGGATGGGGGTGGGGTCAGGTTTCCCAATGAAATTCTCCCAGGACAGCCCTGGCGATCCTTGGAGAATGAGTAAGTGCATTGTCGTGATTGAAAACAAAAAACAAAACAAGAGAACACTTTCCTGGCCTTTTTCTCGCCACTGCAGTTTTCCATTTTCTGCAGACTTCTTCCTTTGAAGCCCCCGGCTTGCCCTTGTGCCCTTTAAGAAAACCTGTGCAGATGACCCATGAAATCCCCAGAGACAGTGGCCATAGCCTGAGCTGACCTCACTGCTGGAGTTGAACCTGCCCAGCAGATCTCCCCGTGGAGCCACTGGTTTGATTGGGCTTTTTTCCCTTAAAGGCACCCTAATGAGATTAAGACAAGTATATTACTCAGCGGGGAGCCCTGGTGGCATGGTGGGTTACATGTTGGGCTGCTAACAGCAAGGCCAGCAGTTCGAAACCACCAGTGTTGCTGAGGGCGAAAGACGAGGTTTTCTACTCCCGTAAAGATTTACAGTCTTGGAAACCTACAGGGGCAGTTCTGCCCTGTTCTGCAGGGTCGCTGTGAGGCTGAATCGACTTGATGGCAGTGAGTTCATGTTTTAGTTTTATTACCGAGCGGACTTGTCTTCAGCCGCCCACTGATTGCAGAGACGTACTTCAACATGCTTGGTTTGGAATGAACCAATGCCTGTATGAACTGCAACCCAATAGCAGTACTTTTTGACTGACCCTCATATGCATAGTGGTTAGCAGTGGAGGCTTTGGAGCCACACAGTCCCTGGTAGCGGCCCCCAACCCTTCGAGTCTCCCTCCTATTCTGTAGGCAGTGACTTCCCCCCTGGCCCACTCCCAGCCTCAGTTTCCTCAAGTATTCATTCAGGATGATGCTGGCACCACCTTCATTGGGTTTTCATCAAGATTTGAATACACGGTTCAATAAACTTTATTGTTTCTGTGTAAAAAAAAAAAAGATTTGAATACATTCACACATGTTAGCTACCTAAAGAAACA